GCCAAACTGCCTGGGTTTGAACCCCAGCTCTGCAGCTTACTCTAGGTTACTTAGCCTCTCTGTGATCCCCTTTCTTTAACTGTCATATGAATATAGCAACAGTACTTATCTCATAATATTGTGAGGATTAAACAAGTCAATATGCATAACGTGCCTGATACACAGACGTACCAAATAAGTGTTAATTGTGAACATTATCCTGTTATTTTTGTCTTAGTATCATTAGCCTTATTTGTAATGATGCAAATTTCAGTAGGAATCTAATCATACAATTAGATAACTGAGGCATGAAACATATATCCTTGATTTATTAGTATCAAATTTCTTTTATTTTAAAGCAAGCTCCTCTTCCTGTTTAGAAGCATGTATTAGGGTAACTAGTTATATCCTGCCTTTATCATTATCTTCCCCTATGATTAACTATCACAGATAAGTTACGTTTTTACTAAGAGATTCTCACCAAAAAGGCCTTGTCTTTAAACTTGTTTCTATTTACTTCAAGGTGTTCATTTTTGGAAGTTTTAGATTTGATTTACTTTTTGTGGAACTATAAGAAGATTGGGAATAGAACAATCAAAATGCAGATGTGCTTTGGAATGGATACAGAAATGAAAGTAACATCAAAATGTCATTTCATGAAGTCCTTGGCACTTGCTGCAGAAGGTCCAAAATTTGTCTCTAAGCTTTCTGTTGGGTTGGGCTGCTTCTGAAAGTATATGTGTTTATTACAACTTTTAATTTCATTCTGTTCTCTTTACGTGCAAGACAACTACTTCAGCATTTTATGATGTAGAAAATTTCATAGATACGCTGTTGCAGCTTTTGCAAACGTACCGAGAAAAGCCTGGTGACAAAGTTGCATACAAAAGTGGAAGTATTTTCACAAAAACTTTTTGTTTGTTAGCTGCTTTACTGAAGACAACAAATCGAGCCTTTGCAAGGATTAATCAGTTCCTTTCTTTGAGGTTATTCTGATAGATTCTTAGGTCTAAGAGTTTTACACATTTCCTTCAGAAATTATAGCATCTTAAATAGGGTTTTGTATGTGTTCAAACCTGCTCTTTGTGAGCTGATAAATGAGTTGTTTCTTATGTATTAAAAAGACTGAATTATAAAATAGAATCTGTTACAGCTGTATGATTAACTGTTTTCCATTTACCTGAGGGAAGTGACAAATTATCCTAGTAAGGTACAAAACCAGATATGTGTGACTCTTCCTCCTCCTGTTGTAACCATAAGTATATTTCAAGGTTTTCTATGGTGAGACCTCTGAGTTATTCTCTTGAGGTGTTACAGTCAACGTAGGGGTGGTCATAGGCTGTGATAGGATTGTGGCCTTTATCCTAAGAACAGTAGGAAACCACTGAAGCCTTTTAAGCAAGGGAACATGCTCCAGTCTAAGTTTTAACATCAGTCTGGCTGGTAATTGAAGGAGGGATGTGGGAGAGAATGCGTGGTTGCAGGGAGACCTCTATGGTGGGAGGCAAGTGTTCATATGCAGTCGTCCAGGCAGAAGATGGTACATGATCTGGGGTTGTCTCAGGGAGAGGGAAGTGTATAACTTTAGAATCTTTGAAAAAGTAAAATTCACAGGACTTGGTAACTGGATGTAATAGGTGTGTTGACTTTAATACTTGCCTTTTAATTCAGTATGGAGTTAAGTGTCTAATTTTTGAATATTTGCCTTCTTTATATTTTTCTTACACATTAGTTCGTAATTTAAACCAATCTAACTGCTGAACTTGGAGAGCTTGGCTTTTAAGTGTTAAAGACTCCCAAGTTTACTTCATAGTGTTTATTTATTGTGCTTGATTTTGCTAGAACAGAAGAGATAGAAAATTTAATTCATATTAGTTTTAATAAATGTACCTTTTCTTTTTTAGGATGTTCAAAGTAGATCCAAAATGGTTGGCCATATTTATAGTCTCTACAAACTTACAGTTCATAAACATAAATTGAATACTGAAAGAAGACTTTATAAACAAAAGGCACATTCTTCTATCAGCGTTACTTGTATTCTAGAAACACGTGTCAGAAGGAGAATAATTTCAAGGTACGCAGTAAATGTACTCTATCTTTTTATGTCACCATTCATTCATTTATTTATTTAGCTAACATTTGTTAAGTACCTACTACAAGCAAGATATTATAGTTCAATGAGTTTTGACCAGTGTATACAGGTGTGAAATCACTACCACTGAGATAAAATGTTTCTATCACACCAGAGTTCTCTTGTGCCCTTTTGCAGTCAATTCTCTCCCTTTCAATCTAGACTCTGGCAACTACTGATCTGATTTCAGTACTTTTAGTTTTTCCTTTTCTACATTATCACATAAATAAAATCAAAGGTTACGTAGCTTTTTGTGACTGCATTCTTTTATATAACTTAAGGGTTTCGAGATTCTTCCGTGTTGATGCAGGGATTAGATTTCATTCTCTTTTATCACAGAGTACGATTCTGTCGTATGACTATGCCACACTTTGTTTGACCACTCACCAGTTAATAGATACTTGGGTTTTTAACACGGAAGAATAAGAAGATGGAAATACATCTAGTAGTAGGGATTTATGTGAGAATGATGTATGAGCTCCCCTCTGACAGAATGAAGCATGAGTTTATAAACATTAGCTCAGAAGGGAGGTTGTGGAGGGAACATTTGAAAAGAAAGGAATAAAATAGTCACCTTGGGGAAAGAGAAAGGAAGTATATTAGGCAATTTCAAGTAGCCATTTAGATTTGCAATTATGGGCATAAAATCATTCAGCCTGCTTCTGTAAATTTCTTTAGCAATTACCAGCTGTGCAGGAATGAATAAGGCAGATATTTGGATTCAACTTGGAATCCAAATAGAACTTTCCAGCTGAATTCAACAGGAAAGAGAAGCAATAGAGTTAATGGCATTTGCAAAGGGGATTGTATTGATGGACCTAAGCTAGCCAAGGAGAAGAGAAGCGAGGAAGGCATTCTGATGGACGATGGGCAAGTGTTGAGGTCAAGTGAATTGGAGATCTCAGTGAGGTGGAAGAGTATATGCAGTGATGTATAAGTCAAATGACATGGGTGAGTCAGACGTGGTGGTTGGAGAGTGGAAGTCCCCAACTGAGACACCAATGGTGGTGCACTTTGTGGTGGCAAAGTCTATAATGTGATCATATGAGAAGGGGTTGGTTGAGGTGGAACAGAGGGAAAGGGAGGCAAAAACTGACAGATGGGGTTGTTGACCTTTTGGCTACACTGATGTTGAAATTACTGACAATGGTCATGGGAGTTGAGAGAAGAACAGGAACCAAAGAGGAAAACGCTGGGAGTTTGGTAGCTGACCAAAAGGCAGTGGTGGAGCTAAATAGCATAAGCTTCCAAGGAGCTAAGATCATCTTTCAGGAAAGATGGACAGAGATACTCTGAAAGTAGTAAAAGCTGTAATATGGAGCCCTCCATCCTGTCTGAGAGGCTTGTAAGGGAAGTGATGTATTCAGGAGTAGTTGCATTTTGGTTGACAAAAAAAGTGAAGGTAACTCTTTTTAAGAGAAAAATTTTATTAGTGCAAGATTTTATTCTTTTCACAAACATTAACCAGATTGGGCTTTGAGAAGAGATAACAAGGAATGAGTCATAAATTCCCTATTCAAATCATGATTCATACACTTGGCCTTCCTTATAGGTAAATGTAAACATTGTGTCAGTATATCCAGTGAAAAGAAATAGTAAAGTTAATCATGACTATGTAAGATGTTTTTTGGTTCTCTTACTATAACTTCAGAAATCTGACTTTGTGTTAAGTTTTAAAATATACATATAGTAAACAAATTGTTTTTATATTTGTTGTTTCTTTCATTATTTAATCCCTTTATGCATGTAACAAATTAATATGTCATGAAATGATTATAACACTTATTCACATCTGTTATCTTAGAACATTATATTAATTTGAATATAATCATATTCCTAAAGGGAAGAGAATATTACTCCTGTTTTATAGATAAATTGAGGAATTTTTCTAAAACAAATGTTGGAAGTCATGGGGAAGACCCAAATGGCCATGAACAGTAGAATGAATAGGTAATTTGTGGCATATTAACAGAATGGAATATTATACAGAGAAGGAACTATCTTTTACAGCCCAAGATATGATGAATGTCACTAACAACATGTTAAACCAAAGGAACCAGACATAAAAAAAATACTATATGATTCCATAATGTAGTAAAACCAAGCAAAACCAAGCTTTTAGAAGTGAAGATAGTGTTTAACATTGAGAGTGGGTGTAAGCAGTGACTTGAAGGAAATTCTGGGGTGCTGGTACAGTCTGTTTCTTGTTCTGGGTGCTGGTTTCATGGATGTGCTCAGTTTGTGAGAATCCATTGGTCTGTGAAATTATGGTGTGTGAACTTTTCTCTTAATATGGTGTATTTTATAAAAAAGTTGCAAAATTGAAATAGTAATAGCTCCTACATCACATATCATTTTATAGTTTAAATTAAAACCCATTAGAAAGTGAACTCCATGGGGGCAGTAGTTTTAATCTATTTTTTCACTGCTATGTGCCCAAGAACAGATCACGACCTGGTACCTGAAGAACACTCACAACATTTCTCATAAATGAATGATAACACAGCACAGCACCCATCTCGTCACCCGCCACAGAATACGCTCTTTAAATGTTAGACACGACTGTCAATAATATCATCGTTTCATTGCTTGAAACAGTTAAGGTCACTTTTCTCTTTCAGCAGTGCTATCCAGACAACGCTCTATTTTAACACTAGGTATTCATGACCTCATGTTCCTAAGTTCATCTCTTTATTTCGTCAACGGTGGTAAAGAAATCAATGGCTACAAGTGAACTTTACTCTATGGACTTACAACTGGGAATTCGTGAAAATTTACCATTTTTCATGCGGTCTGAGTTAATTATTTATACTGTTGCTATTGTGGCTCTTATTGGTTATCATGTTCTTATTGGACTCTGGCGTGAAATGTATTGTACATGAACATGGTTGTGTTATTTTACTATTATTAAAAAATATTTTAAATGAAATATAAGGCTTGCTGCAAAGGGACTTAGACAGATGTTGTAAATAATTAACTTTTTTCTTCCCGAGAAGTATTGTGTACTTAATGAGGAGTTTCTACTGGTTTAGAATTGTTAAAATCTTTCTTCAGCACACCATTGAAGATGAGGTCGAAAGACTTGGTGTTTATCATCTTATTGATCATCTCAGGAGAACTCTATGCAGAAGGTAAAATTAATTCTTGATAGTATTTATTCTCTAAAAAACGTGAAGGGAAATTCTAACATGGATTTATCTTGAGGTTTTAATATGCTCTTTCATTTTGGCATGTCAATTTTATGTGAAACACACTTGTAAATATAATTTGTTATAATATTTAGACAGACTTTTCCCTTTAGGTAAAATTAGTAAACTATTCTTATAGTAACATAACTTAGAAAAACCAAACAAGTTAAAAAACCCTTTGTATTGATAGGTTTTGGAGAATAAGAGACCATGATCTAAATACTCTAAAGGGCTTTCAGGCTAATAGCATTGCCACTTAGAAGTGATGTATTAACCTCAATCCTAACTTCATGCTAGAATCCATTCCTAACACTGACAAAGCTTGTGCAAGTTTAATTCTCTCTTGATGGAGTGAGCTTAATGTGGGAAATTTGAAAAAAGGTAACCAAAAATCATCAACAAGATTTTTGACTCTCAACACTGATTTTTATCCTAGTGATTTATTCATTGGTTAAAGTCATTAGGTAATGATTAGTAGGAGGACCATAGAATTGATTATGCAAACAAAGACACTTTCGAGAGTGAAGGGGGCTCTCTGAGTAATTATGTGAGAGAACAGGTGTATATCACGACTGCCCAGACAAACAATACCTGTGCACTCCCTGACTGTTAGAAATCTCAGTGACCAGGCTGCCTAGGGACGAGATGAATGTGAGAGTGAGGGGGGCAGTGAACTAGTGTGGATTATTTAGGGACAGTCATCAGTGTTATTAGGCTGTAGGGATCAGAAACCAGGCAGGTCATTAAGGGTCAGCAGGAATGAATATACAAAGTAGGAAATCACAGCAATAAGGCTTTTCTAGAATAAACACTTTAGGGGATTTGGGGAAATAAAACATCCTATGGATTATTGTTGCCTTTTAGTTGAATAGTTTACTACAAATTTGCTACCAAAAAAGGGTCTGCAATTAAAATTATGAAAGTGAAATAAAGACTCTTCATCTTCCTTGACACATTTAACTCTACAATAAGATAATTTTTGTGTCAATAGTTTCTTTTGGTTTTACCTTTCTGTCTAAATCGGGAAAACCAGCTAATATAATTGTCTATTTTCTATCCCATGAAGACATTGCAATATTCTAGTTAATTTTCTAATTATTATTTGATTATAATCTTACTTCACATAAACAAAAAAATGTACATTGCTTGAAGACAGGGACCAGGATCTCCTATCCCCGTGCTTTCCCCACCCTCATCGGGAACGCGAGGGGCAAGGATTGGGTTAATCACACTTCTCATTTCATAGCATGCGATCATCATTGGCTTATGAAAGGTGTCACTTTCACTTTATTTATACATTCTTCCCTTTTATCTCTGACCCTGGATTCCATTCCCCCTACCACCAAACTGGGACCCACTATAATGTGTTTATATGTATTTTAACTATGTAAGTAACTTTGTAAACTGTCTTGTTTTTTGTATGTGTTTTACATTCATAAAAATGAAAGCTTACCATAGATTTTATCTCATTGTTTTATTTTACTTGCTACTGTTTAAATATATTTCCATTGACTGAATCTGTTTTGTTGCTAGCTGCTTCATAGGGTTTCATATATTTCATGTATTCTCCCTCCTACAGCTGGACATAGAGTTACCTCTAATTTCCTCCTAACCACAAATAACTCTGAAATGAATGCTGTCCCATAATCACCTTGTTTCTCTGTGAATTTCTTTGACCTGTATGTACCCACATGTGGAATTGTTGGGTCAGTTCTTTTCCTTGATTTCCTGGTTTATAACTGATTAGCATTTTTCTTGGTTTATACCTTTTTATAGCTGATTTGTGGGAGCTCTTTGTAGAGTATAGATTTTAACTTCTTGCTGATTTTCAACATTTCAAATTCCTTCTTCCAAAGTGTTCTGTGTTTTGTAAACAATGCTTTTCACTGAAAGAAATCCTTCATTTCGACACAATCAATTTCATCAACTTTTGCCTTTTGGTTTCTGCTTCTCCCCTCAATCTCAAAATCACAGAATGTGAATGGTGCTTTTGTAATTGTACAACATGAAGGCCCTAATGTCATAAAGTTGGAATTTTAAAATTTTATATCTAGTATACCAATTAGTTTTTCACTATAACCATTCTACTTTTTCCACATTTAAAGGGTTATTTATATCTTGTACTATTTTTTCCATACTCACTATTTCTACTCAATTCTTCTTTATGGCCATTTATTCATGCTCTATATTACCAGTATCTTCCCATATCTATTTAAGGCTATTCATCATGCAAATTTTAAGCTCTCCATCGACCTGTTTCACTAATTGTGCTCCATGTGGTATTGATTGTTCATTTCAATGACTTTCTTTTATTGTGATTGAGCTCCTCACATTTTTCATTACTTTTTTCTCATGAATTCATGTTCCCTGAGTCATATCAGCTACGTGGACAGGTAATGTTGCCTCTCCTGGTGAAGGAGGGACAAGCCCCAGGAAAGAGTCTTTGAAGCCGCAAAGTACGATTCAGCACCCGTTTGCTGCCCCTCATGGAACCTCCATGTGTATTCATCATAGCACCGCTCTTTTTGAAAAGTCTTTCCCTTCTAAATCCCTGATGGTATGTGAATGGAAAATGGTGAGAATTCTCAGGGGATGGGGACTCTCCTGTACATGTTGTTTTCTGCTCCTCCCCTCCAGCAGACTCTGGAAATTTTACGTTACTCATGATTCCTTGCCCATTTCTCTTCACCCTGTGCTGGCACTGCTGTCCTTTTGAATCTCGTGGTAACAATGGGCAGACTGTAATCACTTAAAGCCTCGAAGGCAGAGTCATCCCACTGGTGCAGGTCTTCTCCCAGCCACACCTGATGCTTCCTCCCAAAACAATCCAGAGGAGCTGGTCAAGAGTTTCTTTCTTTTTGGTATTTATGTAATTTTAAGATCTCCAACATAAGGATATATTTTTAAAATATAAATGTTTTACTTGGAGCATAATATATCGAGAAAAATGCAAAAAATCATATGATATTCTTCTGTAAATGTTTACAGAATTTTATGGCAAGCAGATCAATATACAGAGCATTAACAGTGCCTCAAAAGCCTCCTCAGTGTCACCTCTAGGCTGCTAAACTCTTGAGTCCTTCCAACCTCTGTTACAATGGATTACTGGCACCATCGTGATAGGCTCATAGAAGTGGTTTTCAGAGGGTTCTCTCAGGAGCCACAGCTAAGAAGGCTTCTCAGAACAGGATCCGGGCACTGCCAAGCTGCAGCTCCCCAGAGTATAGGAGAAGCCTGAGCCCCTATCCCCTGAGCTGGCTACATTCCCAGAAAGCAGGGCTAGAACTCCTTGGAAGATGTTGGACTAGCTTGGCCATGGGGTTTCCCTATGGTATCCTCCTTTTCATCCTCACCAAGTGGCAAGTAGACAAGGACCTTATGAAGCAGAGGAAGACTGGGAAGAACACGCAGGCATCCAACATGGGTGAGTATGAGAGCCAGAGGTTCAGAGCCTCCTCCCAGTTGCCTGTCTCCTGATACTGTGTCCAAGGTGCAGGCCTGAGGAACACTGCAGCCCTTGCCTGGATCTACTGACTGCAGCCTCCAGACTGTGAAGTCCTTTGGGTTTGGCCACAATTTTGGTCATTGCCTTTGAGATCCACCAGAGAACATGTGAAGCCCCTCGCCACCTTCCCCTCTGCAGAAGCCAACCAAAGGCAAATGAAGTTATTGAGTGTTTGAGTGAAAATGAAAAAAAAAAGAAGGAGAAGAAGGATGAAAAGAAGAAGAGGAAGGAGAAGGAGAAAGAGGAAAAGAAAGAGCAAGGAAAGAGGAAGGAAGAAGGAGGAAAGAGGAGAAGAGATTCAGTACAATTTCCAAGAGGGTCTGGCATGCTAACTAGGAGGAGATTTGTTAGGTCAGCTAACTTTCCAGAAGCCCTGCCTGGAGCCCAGTCAATCTGGCCAACAGGTCTTTCTCCCAAAATTCCCCAACTGGGCCTCAGCCAAGGCAGGGCTTCACTCTGAACCCTGGAGGGGCTTCTTTCTTTCTTGGTTCCAGAAACCATGAGGAAGAATAGTTAGGAGAGATGGAAGGGGCTGAAGGAGAGTCCTGTGATGAGCCCTCAGTCCCCACGAACCCAGCCATAGACATCTGGAACAAAGTTACCCTTTCAAGTGCACAGCTGCCAGAAGAAGAGTTATGGGCAGGAAGCCTCTTATTTCCAATCATGGGCCGCCTGACCTCCCACCACAAAAAAGCAAGGAAAGAAAACTTCAGTCAGTTGAACTGCTACTATAAGCTGTGAATCATCATTTTGGTCTCTTTCTTTGCTTCCCCCCCTTCAGGCTGCTCCCAAAGCCTGGCCTTCCCCTTACAGGAGCCAGGGATGGGAAGGAGGGAACAGGGAGGCCCAGATGTTCGGAATTTGTCTTGTCCTGCATGTTCCCTCTTCCTTCTCTGGCCCAGGCCTTCTGCTTCCCATCACAGCACCATCTGGGGCTGTCCTGAAAGGATGCTGTGGGGTAAGGAGAAATATAGGGAAGTTGCTTCCATGACTTTTCCCCCACCCCAAATCTTACTGCCAAAAAAGCCATTCCCTGTTTGACATGTAAAAGTCCTCTGCCTGCTCAAGGCAAGGCACAGCTCTGGGGTAAAGCCTCAGTCTGGGTCTGGGAAAGAGGTTCATTTTCCTGCATTGGAACACCCTTCCATGGGCAACTTTACCTCCCGTGGAATGAAGGAGGGACAGAACAGTGCAGCCCATGCCTCCTCTTGGCATGCTGTATCTTTGGAAGCTTGGGTCTGGCCAGCAGTCCTGAGTACCAGGGTCTAGCTAGGAGGACCATACCATTCAGGAACCCCTGCCTGATGGCTGGCTTTTCCCTTCACAGTCACATGGTTCTCTGGATCCCAAGACTATCCCCTCAGCCCTTTTTTAAGGTGGAAGGTCAGCTGGCCTAGGAGTACAGCTGGCCTGAGAAACTGGGTTACTGTTCAAGCTCTGCAAAGTGATAAAGATTCAGACATCTCCTCCTGTAATCAATGGCACAGCAGAGAGAACAGCTGTCTCCTGCCCAGTCTGCCCAGGGCTGTAGGAGGACCAACCCTGGCCATCTATAAAGAAGGGGTGCTCAGGGGGCACCTCGATGCTCACTTTGTTCTGCTGCTCACCAGCTACAAAATGCAGCATGACAAATCCAGGCCACTGGCTCTCTGAGTGTCCATGATAGTACTAGAGTCAATCTTCAGCCCCCCGCTTACTTCACCACTACACACAGTATCCTGTGTCTGGAGGTCCTCCACCCACTTCAGCTCCCCCTTAGCCAGCTGGATCATGGTGCCTTTCACGAAATGGGAGGGTAAGTGGGAAGAGGTAATGGAGCATTGGCGTTGGCTTCATGTCTGGGAAGGTGGCTCCGACCTGCATGTTTAAACTTGGTGCCGTCAGGATCTCTGAACCCATGGGCAGCAGGCCTGGGTCAATTGCAGTGGGCACCAGGCTGCCAGCAGCTACCACCATTGCTTTGGGCAAAGGTCTATGTTTTAACAGTTCCTGATGAGACTGGGGATAGAACTCCTGGGCCTTATTTTCCCGGCCATCTCTGCTGGGCTCCTGGCGGGCCCTCGCCCCTCACCCTGATGTTCAGGTGTTTGATGGGACAGGTTGAGGGGTCTGGGCTCATCCTTCCTCTGAGCTGCCACCACAGGATACTTCTGAGAAGCTAATGCACCAACCACCCGCTATACCATGGGCTTGGCATCTAGGGTCCCTCAGCGTGCTGGCACCACTGCCACCAGTGCAGTCTGAGACCTTGAGAACAAGTGTCCATTTGCCACACGTTCTACCTCTGGCACCAGTCCCTGGCCTTGGCTCTTGCTGTTGAGGGAGTCGAGGGTTTTACTTTCCCATTTGTACTAAATTTCACTTTTGCTGTCTCCACCCACAGCAGACAGGCTCTCCTGAAGGTTAAGCGCTATGCTGGCACCTGCTGGAGGAGTTTCATGCAAGAGGCACCCAGCAGGTAGCCTGGACATTTGATAATAAATGGGCATCCAGCCTGGAGTGAGGTCCAGTGGCAGAGTACTTGAGTGATGTGGCAACTGTCCAGATGGGGAGGTAGCACAGAGGGCTTTGTTGAATGGATGGGCTGGGGATGAAGTCTGGGGGAAGGAGTGGCTTCTTCTGCCAGGAAAGAGACATATGGCACAATGTGGAAGGTGAAAGGTAGTGATATTGGCAGAAGGAGAAAGGAGGGGACTTGGTAGGAAATTAGGTGGCACAGCATAGGGAGCTATAAGGAGACCTGATAAACTGAAGTGAGGTGGATGGGAGCTGAGCATAGTGGATTGGGGGTTAGTGGATTCCTGGGTGTTGAATCAGTGAAGATGATACCTTAAACTTGGGGGGGCAAGGGGCTCCTGTTCACCACAATGGGAGGCCAATTGAGGAGAAGGTGGCAGGTGGCACAGCCACTTTAAACAGCATGCCATACTGGTCTACTTTCAGACCAGTGATGACTTCAGCTTGATCACCCCCCCAGGCTGACTCTGGCCACCATAACCCCTTAGGACCATTGACAGGCATCACTGGAGGGTGTCTGTTAGTTGAGCAGCTGGTAGTTCTTCCCATATCTTCGCTGGTCACAGAGACGTCTTGTTTCTTTGGTGGAACGCATTCCTGACTCCTCTCATGAATGGGTTTCATATCGCTTTGTGGTGTTCCTGGAGACTGGAAGGGGTCAGCTTGCTCCTTGAGGTATCAGAAGAGGCCTCTTTGTGGCTCCCTTGCACCCCTCTCTGCTGCTGGCTGGGGCACCCACCTCTGAGCTTCTAGTGATGCTTCTGAACAGCTGTAGCAAGAAGGAGTGTCCTCCCAGCTGATTTGGGAGCCGGCCCATCTCACAGCACGCCTCGGGTTCCTCCCTGGAGCCATGGCCAATGCCAACCAGGGCTGCAAGAGCTTCCCCACACCCACCAGTCCCTCAGTCTGGGCACCCGTAGGTGGGGGTTGGGAGGTGGGCAATATGAGTGAAAGTGGTCAAAAGATACAAACTTTCAGTTGTAAAATGAGTAAGTCATGGGGGTGTACAGCACGGTGACTATAGTTAACAACACCGTATTTTATATTTGAAAATGGCTAATAGAGTAGAGCTTAAAAGTTCTCATCACAAGAAAAAAAATTGTAACTGTGTACAGTGATAGATGTTAACTAGACTTATTGTAGTGATCATTTCATAGTATACACAAATTTTGGATCATTATATTATACATCTGAAACTAATATGAGTTTATATGTCAATTATATCTCAATGAAAAATTATGTAAGTACATACCATATTTACTCATGTTGTAATGGCTTCTTTCACTCAGTGATCTGTTTGTGAGATTCAGCATTCAGCATTTTGGTTGCTGTATAATATTCTGATGTATGTGGAGTCTAAAATGTGTTTGTCTTCTGCCATTGATGGGCATTTGGATTGTTTCCAGTTTGGGACTACATGAATAGTACTGCCAGGAACATTCTATAACATGTCCTTGGCTGCACATACGTATTTTTTTTTTAAATATATATGTATGTATTCTGCTTTAAAAAACACAGCCAAACTATTTTCTCATAACAGGTTGTGCCAATTTATTCTCTCACTTGCAGTAGTGTGAGAGTCCCATGTTCTCCACATCCTCACTGATCACTGAGGCAGTCTGTCTTCTCCATTTCAGTGCCTGCAGTGGCTGTGTGTGGCCATGTGTACTATGTCATGGTGGTCTACTTTGTGTTTCCCTGATGATTATTAAAGCTGAGTACTTTTTACTAGATCTTTGACCATTTGAATATCCTGTTTTATAAATTTCTTTCTCAAGTCTTTTATTATTTATTTTTAATGGGTTGTATGTCTTTTTCTTAAAGAAAAGTCATTTATTTCAAAATTTTGTAGGTTTGCAGATCTTAAGGAGAACCTCATTTATTCTAGAACTCTGTGGTCCGATATGGTGGCCACTAGCCACATATGGCTATTGAAATATGACTAGTAAAATTGGGGTGTACTGTAGGTGTATATACACACTGGATTTCAGACTTAGTAAGAAAAAAAGAATGTAAAATAATTTTATTATGTTGGGTCAAATAAAACCTATTATTAGAATTAGCTTTCTTCCTTTTGTTAAGGTGGCTACTAGAAATCTTAAAATTACATATGTGGCTTGCATTATATATTTCTATGAGAAAGTGCTGTCTGACAAGGTTAGGGAAAGCTTCCCTGAGGAAGTGGCCTGACCAGTTGTATTCTGACTGTTGAGTGTTGGGATTGCTAACAGATTAATTCTGATTGAAAAGGACTGTCACAAAAGTACTTTAAAAATTTAGGTAATGAAAATAAATACTAGGGCCAGCCCAGTGGCCAAGTGGTTAAGTTCGTGTGCTCCATTTCAGTGGTCTGGGGTTCACCGGTTTGGATCCTGGGTGTGGACCTACACACTGCTCATCAGGCCATGCTGTGGCAGCATCCCACATAGAAGAGCTAGAATGACCTACCACTAGGATATACAACTATGTACTGGGGCTTTGGGGAGAAAAAAAAATAGGAAGATTAGCAACAGATGTTAGCTCAGGGCCAATCTTCCTCACCAACCCCCCAGCCCCCCAAAAAAGCACTAGGTAAAGTGTCTGCAAAGACTTCATTTTAAAAATGTCTTGTTGCTTGATCACAAATTTAATGGTTTAGATATGTTTTTCAGGTTTCAGCTCGATATTTCCTCATTTCAGAGAAATCCTGTGGTCTTCCTAATGTGGAAAATGGAAGGATTGCCCAATATTACTATACTTTTAAAAATTTTTACTTCCCGATGAGCATAGACAAAAAATTGCCATTCTACTGCCTGGCTGGTTATACAACTGAAAGTGGAAAGCAAGAAGGGAAAAGCACATGCACTTCGGAAGGCTGGTCTCCAGCACCACGGTGCTTCAGTAAGTCAGTGGGATGTGTCAACTTGATGTTTATGATATTCCAGGAGATTCGTTTGTAAACTAGGGTTCAACAAAATATGGCAGGTGGTTAAACCTTCTGGTAGATAAGAATAAAATTACTGGCCCTCTGTCTTTTTTACAAAACGAAGGCATATCCTAAAATTCTGTATATAATGTTTCTCATTAAAATGTTGTTTTCTTTATTTGCTTTCAATAATACCCTGTGAAGAGAATAAGGATAATTATTGAAATTGCTATTTTCATATTGCAAGGAACAGAGACACAACTGAGTTATTTTAAGGAATGAGGAACTTACACAGATAATTGTGCATACTTGACATTGGCCTTAGCAAGAATAAGATTGTCACTCTAGGGTTTTATCGTTTGAAAGACTCATCCTTCCTTTGTGTGCCAACTTCATCTCTCATAATATCCATTGAAAAATGTGTTTTTCAGAATTTTGAGTTCAAATTTGTGGAAAGGAAATCTGATTGGTTCATCTCATTATTTCATGTCAGGCTACACCATAGTCAAACTATCAATTGGCTTCCATTGGGTCAGGCGACCTCTCTTGAGCAAAGAATTCCCTAAGCTCTGTTTTGCAGAGTAAGGGGCTTTGGTTGAGTCAATTTCATTTAGAAGAGCAAGTGGGTATGGTGGTTGACATATCTAGTAAACATATCCATTTGGGATGGTTATCCCTTCCATGACTGAGGACAGACCATAAATGTAAGCATTGCACTTTGAGTATTAACACAGACCATAGACTAACTCTAAGAAATAAATATCATTCATAACTAGATTAAATTCACAACTACAGCATATGAATAAATTAACATCTTAATGAACATCTTAGATTTATTAACTCTTTTAGATTAGAGTTAAGAGCATTGAAATTGATCCAGAAGAGGACAACTCAGGTTTAACGTTATAGAGTCATGGTTAAAATACAACCTCTGCAGTCAGCCTTCCTGCCTGGGAGTCCTGCTGCACCACTGGAAAGTGACTTCAATATTCTGAGCCCGAGTTTCCTATGTGTAAAATGGTGACACTGCTGCTTCAATGAGATAATCCTTATAAAGTGCTTGCCGCACAGCAAGCACTAAATATATTTAGACTATTACTAACGTTGGACAAGTTTCTTAACCTTTCTGAATTGATTTGTTATAGGGGTCTCAAAATAGGGCTTTAAAAATGACTGAACTCTATACAATGTTAAGGTAAATTTCTTACCTAACACATCACTGTTGCAAGTATTTACTAAAAAATAACTCTATGAACTCAAAGATTTTGAGTAACGTGTCTGTGATTCAGTCACAGTCTACATGGACTGACTATGGAGTCTTGCTGTGCAGGTAGATCATTTGCTGAAAAAAATAAGCAAAGTTTTCATATTAAGATATCTGCAGAATTGTTTAAAGATCCATAGGGTAAGTATGTGCTTTTGTCATAGGATGTTAAAAATTATCAAACACAGTGGACTTAAAAATAATAAGAAGAAATTCCTTCTATTTGGAGTTAATGACTATTAGTTAGCAGAAAACCTCAGGGTGTATTTCTTAAAGGTAGATGTGGCGGGGGTAGGAATGACTATAAGAACTGAATTAGTGACATACAAAAAATGGCAATGTCAAATGAATCAATTTTTAGAGAAATTTGATGCAAAACATGCAGGATAGTTCTAAAATTATAATAAATCAAGCAATTGTGAAGTCAAGATTTTTCTCTCTCTCTTTAAAATTCCCAGAATAATATTAAACTTTGCCTTAGTTTTGCAAATTAGTAAAAGACAAACTTTAATGTCATCAAGTTAAGCAAAGAAATACTTCTCTCCCATAGAAAAATGCACTAAGCCTGACCTGAGAAATGGCTACGTCTCTGAGGGAAAATTATTGTACAAAATTCAAGAGAGCATGCGGTATGGTTGTACTTCAGGCTACAAAACCACGGGAGGGAAGGATGAAGAAGTGGTTCAATGTCTCGCTGATGGATGGTCTTCTCAACCAACCTGTAGGCAGGAACAAGGTATGTGTTTAGGAATCATTTTCTAAATCTGAAGAGAAGGGCTTGTGAGGCTATTCCTTTCTTATAGTGATAGACATTTTTATTTAATATAATTGATTTTTCATTATGTCCACAAATGCAAGAAGCTATATTGTTTTTCTCTAATGCTAGGTGTTTCCTTAATCCAAGCGTTCTCAACTCCCACAACTCATCTACTCCAGCAGTTCCTACTTTCTACCAATAAAAATAAAGAATTGGAGTGGAACAAAAGGAAAGAACCTTGGGGCCAGCCCGGTGTCATAGTGATTAAATTCGCATGCTCCACTTCAGCGGCCCGGGGTTCACAGGTTCGGATCCTGGGCGTGGACGTAGCAGCACTTGTCAAGCCACACTGTGGCAGCGTCCCACATAAAATAGAGGAAGATTGGCACAGATGTTAGCTGAGGGCCAATCTTCCTCACACACACACAAATAACCAGGAAAGAACCCTAATAAACCTGTTTCTAGCAACATATACAAATTACTACTTCTTTTATCAGAGAAGAATTTGAGATAATGCACTTTATTTTGTATTGTAAATATAATTTATATATGATGAATACTAATTTTATCTTGTCTGTTAGATATACTTAAGAATAATCCAATAATTTGAACAGTGTGCATACTTTGTTAGTGTGTTGTTAGTTGTCTAAATTACACAAATCCACAGATGGCGCGTAATCAAAAAATTGTTACCGCACAAGCCTTCAGTTGAGTTGTGGCCTTTGGTCAAATACAGTAGATTAACTTTAAGAAGGGAAAACTGGTGAAGTTCGGACACAAGGTATATGAAAGCAAGGAATAGAGAGGCAAGGACAAACTGACTATTTTTCAATTTTGCCAAGGGTTGATTCTGCCAGATATTCTCAAGATTCAGTGAAAGTATGTTTTGAGATTTCTTTTTAATATTCTAGGCTTCGTGATGAAGTTCATAAAATAAATGATTATTTATTATTGTTTTTTGAGAAACATGTTTGGCTCCCGAATTACATCATGGAAATTATTCCACAACACAGAAAACATTCAAAGTGGAGGACAAAGTACAATACGAATGCGCTCCTGGCTACTACACTGCTGGAGGACAGAAGACGGAAGAGGTGGAATGTCACACACATGGGTGGTCTCTCACACCAAAATGTACCAGTAGGTTCTCATTTTGAAGACAGGCTGCTTTCCCTCTGAAAACCTCCTCTCATACAGAAGTGTATATAAATTGTCATGCTAATTATTTTCCATTTTTCATACCTTGTGGGGGTTTTTTGCTTCTGGTTTTAATTTTGTTAATAGTAGGCTTTGATCATTTAAGGCTCTCAAATAAGAAAACTTCCTTTCAGCTGGGGAAATTAAATTAAAATAAGACTGATGATATTTAATAATATCAAGCTCTTGTTATGGATATCAAAATATGACAAATTTACTAATTTCTATTCCAGATATGGCATGTAAGTAATAGGTGAATTTTGTGCCAGCAGGAAAGATAACACTTTTTTCTATTTTTATTTGTTCTTTCATCTTTAGAATTAAAGTGCTCTTCTTTGAGATTAATAGAAAATGGTTATTTTCATCCTATAAAGCAAACCTATGAAGAAGGAGACGTGGTTCAGTTTTTCTGTCATGAAAATTATCATCTAAGTGGATCTGATTTAATTCAATGCTATAACTTTGGTTGGTACCCAGAATCTCCTGTATGTGAAGGTAATTTTAAAAATATCACACTCATGGAAATAAAATATCATGTCTCAATCATCTCTAATTTCTATGAAAAAAATTGTCTCTGATGATATCTGATACTTGTCCTGAGTGTTATTTTTTGAAAGAAATGTCTTTTAAATCAGTATTATTTTCAGCAATCTTTAATACATTTTATCTGAAGAAATCTTAAGTTTTACATTAGCTTGTAGAGTGGATATAACTTTTAAACTTTTTTTAAAAATCTCATAAATTTTCCATCTCTTATTATATTGAGTAACTTTTCTTATTGGGAATTACTAGATCCAATTATCCCAAGCAGGCAGCTTTGGGAGAGTACTTTCTTATTTGGCCACACATTTCCTGATGTGAAAATATAGTCTTCAAAAGGGTGGATTAAAGAGCAGAGAAAGCAACAGAATATTATCAGAAAAATGAAGTCATCTAGTCAGAGCTATCCTAAACTGTCCTGGGTACGGTTAAGTTTGCATCACTGGATGCGTTGAAGCAGGTGAGATGATTACCTGCTGGAAGGCATCAATTCAATAGTCATTTAATCACACCTACAATGTGATAGGAAGGAGGTCCTGGTCTAGCAGAGGAAACAGATATGAAAAGGTAATTGATGCAATGTGACAAATGGCATAATGAAGCCAGGTATAAAGTATTTGAACAAACATTAAAGATTTTGCTTGTTATGGTGTGGGATAGCTTTTATGGAGGTGATGGGTAATATTTAAATTGAGCCTTAAAAGATTAGTTGGAGTTTGAGGATTGGGAGGGATGGAGCGAGGTAAAGGGCTTGATAGCCTGTGTTTTCTCTGTAATACAGAAAATACTGTCGTTGTTGACAGGCAGGAGAAAGACAGGAAAGTAGAACTTGGAAGAGAGTGGTGAAGATTTGAAACAGCAGCTAAGAGGAATGAAAGACGGAGTTGACCAGGGGTGTGCAATGGGATTGCCAAGAGCTATCATAATTTTTTAAATGCATTGAAAAATAACTTTAATTTAAAAAAATTCCAGTTGTGCCTATCAGCCTTGGTCTACCAGTAGAGAGGAAAGTTGTTAGCAAATTGTCTCTAGCATGTTATTTCAGTAGGAAATGGCAGACCTACTTACTGCCCTTTCTACACTTCCCCCATCCAAATTAGCATGCCAAATTCCCTGTCGTTCTTCTTTAGCAAATAGTCGTTAGGTGTAGGATAGGCAGTGTAGTAGTCTGAATTATGCCTAACTCATCCCAAAAGATACACAAATCCTAATCTCTGGAACCAGTGAATGTTGGACCGTACGTGGCGAAAGAGACTTTGCAGACGTGATTAAGTTAAGGATCTTGAGGTGGGAATAATATCTGAGCTCATGCATATGGGCCCTAAATAAAATCACAAACATCCTTATAAGAAGGAGGCAGAGGGACATTTGTGTGCAGAAGAAGTAGGAGATGTGACAATGGAAGCAGGGGGTTGGAGTAATAGAAGCAAGGGGTCATGCACCGAGGAAGGCAGGTGGCTTCCAGAAACTTGAAAAGGCAGAGAAGCTCATTCCCTACTGAAGCGTCCGGAAGGAATGCAGCTTTCCTGACACCTTGATTTTAGCCCAGTGAAATCGATTCTGGCCTTTTGGCTTCCAGAACTGTAAAAGAATTAATTTGTGCTATTTTAAACCACTAAATTTTGATAATTTGTAACAGCAGCGATAGGAAATTAATACAGTCAGTATTTTAGAACAGTTAAGAACAGAAGAGTTTAATTCAGATAGATACAGGTTCAATAACAGATCTGCCACTTATTTACAATTTATTTATTTCATAAATTTTAATTTCTTTATCTATGATGTGGAGACATGATAGACCCCACTTACGTAAGTTATTTTAGGATTAAAGGAGATAATGAATGTAAAACGCTAGCTTTTTAAATTTTCTATTGGTGCATAACATTGTTATCACAAATTTAGCAGCTTAAAACAACACACTTGTTATTTCACAGTTTCTGTGGGTCAGATTCTGGGCATAGTTTAACTGGCTCCTCTGCATCCATGTCTAACAAAGCTGCAATCAGGATGTCAAATGGGACCACAGCCTCATCTGAGGCTTGACTGGGGAACAATCTGCCTCCAAACTCATTGTGGTTGCTGGCAGCATTCAGTACTGGACAGGCTGCTGAACTGAGGGTCCCAGTTTCTTCCTGGCTGCCAGCTGGAGACAGCCCTCTGCCCCTTGCCTTATGGCCCTCCCCTTTTGGAAGCTCACAATGTGGCAACTTATTTTTTTTCAAAATCAGCAAGGAGAGAGAGTCTTTCAGCAAGAATGTCCTAACATATTATGTTCCATGATCATGTATACACAACCACATACATTTCATCATCTTTGTTGTATTCTATTGGTTGGAAGCAAACCACAGTTCCTGCTCATGCGGAGGAATATGACACAAGGAAGTGAACATCAGGAGGTGGGCATCAAGGGGTGATCCTAGAGTCTGTCTGCCATACTTCTTATGGCACTTGGCGCAACAAATGTGCTTATTAAGTGTTAACTATTATTTTTTGTAGTTATATGACTGACTAAATATGCTGATGCTTTCCCAAAAGGAAGAAGAAATCGATGTGCTCCTCTACCTCTGCCTCTAAACTCCAAAATTCAGACACATTCAGCAACTTATCGTCATGGAGATACAGTTCGTGTAGAATGCAAACTTAATTTTGAGATACAGGGATCAGAAGAAATACACTGTGAAAACGGAAAATGGACAGAACCTCCAAAATGCATTGGTGAGCAACACCTCAAATATGATTTCCCTAGAATGAAATCTGAATGAGTAGCTAAGTGGTCTCTCCTCTAAATTGCCCCTTTTCAGAAGAAAAGGAGAAGATAGCCTGTGAGGAACCACCCATCATCGAGAATGGTGCAGCAAACATAACCTCTGAGATTTATTACAATGGGGATAAAGTGACCTATGGATGTGCAAGAGGCTATCATCTCCGTGGATCAAAAGAAATAACTTGTAAACGTGGAAAATGGACACTTCCTCCTGAGTGTGTTGGTCTGTATGCAACATTTCACATCAATAGCTTAGCTTCTTGTTTAAAATTTCCATTCTCTTTGTTTAATCCACATACTTAAAGCAAGAGACCTTTGCTTAGAAGTTAGAAACATATTGATACTGCATCTACTCTGCTATTTTTTGTGAGTGTGTGGAGCCAAGTGTAGAATTTAAGTCAATATAAAGAATTGGGAAACTAAAAACATATTTTCTTAGTGTACGTTAATTCTAGGTACTGTTATAAGACCTGTTTGGTGCCATGACTTATGAGCTTATGACAGCACATTTCATTAGAGAAAACAAATCATGGTGTGTAGGATTTAGAGACTGGCCAAGACCATGATCCACTTCCCCTCCCTTTATGTCCCACACAGTTAGGATGGAGCACTCTGCTCCGGACTTTGGTCAGTCCTCCTGAGCTTACTTTTGCATCTGAGCATTCTGAGCCCTACATTCTTCTGAAGCATGTGTTTGGTCTTTTGTTTTACTGAAGAACACAACCAGGCTACTTTATTACTCCCGGTGTTACCCTTCTTGTCATCCTTCTCGTTTCTTGACCAGATCCTGCAGAGATCTCCACAAACATATTTACCAAGAATATTTATTGCATAAGAGAAAAGCTGTCAAGGTTACTAGAAAAATTAGAAGAGTCAAAGAAAGACTCTAAAGGGAGAAAGGAAAAAATGGAAATTTTCGTCCATGGATTGACTGAGATCTGAAATGAAGAGGAATGAGAAGGAAAAAAATAAGAGAGGATAATGACAAAGGACAGTTCGACAGTAGACTATAATCTTTATCTTAAAAATCGCTGTCTACCTTTTATACATTTAAGGGTATCTATATTATGATTTCTTCGTAAGCAAGAAAAGTGAAAAATATGCATACTTGTTCTTAGGCTAAATTTGCTGTTTAGTCTTGCTTGGTAAATTTTAAAAATATTTGAGTTGAATAACATTTCTCCCATTTTTGGTAAATTTAGAAATCAATTTTCCTAAACTACATTGTGCAAGTGTTGAGGTACTATTGTATCCGCAAATATATTATATGATTATGTTGTTATTAGTTCATGTTTATTTTAAAATAACCTCTTTTCTTAGAAAATAATGAGAATTGTAAGCCTCCACCTGATGTAATAAACGGGGCTGTTGTTGATGGGTTATCGGCAAACTACACAACAGGATCATCAGTGGAATACAAATGCAATGAATATTACCTATTGAGGGGAGAAAAAACATCTCATTGTGAACAAGGAAAATGGTCATCCCCCCCACCTGTTTGCTTAGGTAAGATAGAAAACACATTGAATTTAAAAAAATTTTTCCCAGCTTTATTAAGATACAACTGACATATAACATTTGTGTAAGTGTAAGGTATACATGGGATGGTTTGATGCACATGTACAATGTGAAATGATTACCACAATTAAGTTAGTTAATGTATCCTTCATCTCACAGAATTACCATTTTTGTTGTTGTTATGATGAGGGCATTTAAGATCTACACTCTTGGCAACTTTCAAGTATACAAAACAATATTGTTAACTATAGTCTCCATGCTGTAGGTTAGATCCTTGGAATTTTTCCCTCTTGGAACAGAACACGTTGAATTTATTTTACCATTGTGTTTGTGTTTTATGTGATTTTCATATAATGTTTTATAGCATGAAAATGACGATTTTGTATAAATACTTTTTGAAGTGTTTTCCCGTATCATTTCTATATGCAGAAAATCCCTAATATCTTAGAGTCTAGGACTGTATTAGGTCTCACCTCACTGCTTTTTCAAAAGGTTGTGGTAAAATATGAACAACAAAACTTTACCATTTTAACCGCATTTGTGTTGTCTTTCTCCTGACTGAAATTTCCCCTTATTATAGTCCTCAACATCTCTGCTTGTATTGTCCTTAGAATGTCCTTTGAAGAGAAGAAGAATCAATCCAGTTCTTTTCTTGGTAGAGCGTATTGTTAATAGCTTTCTTTGCCACTTCTTCCTCATTTGAATGGACACCTTGTGTTATATCTTGTTGAAACAAATAAAAGCATATTTGTAGTTACTTTAAATATATTTTGGTTTACAGCATGGTATAATTAATGTAATGTTTCCAGTAGAGAATTGAGGCAGTTATCTAAATAATTACCTAAATTGAGATACTTTAAGAAAATAATATTCACCTCCCTCTCATTTCAAGCGTGTAGATTTGCCTCATTTTTTTACCTTAGCTAGTCAGTTACATTTAAAAGTAATGTAACTCGTCACAACAGTTGCAACGAACTTGCTAGGTTGTGACTTTTACAAATGGGTAATGGCATGACAAGCTTTCTATATGTTAAAATAAAATAGTCATTTGATTAAAATATTAGTCTCTTAAACTACAAAAGCAGATTATTATTATTTACCAAAAAAAGAATAAATATATAGAACAACCAGAAGAAAACATAAAATATCAGTAACCTTGCCTGAAACAAAGGTTGTTAATGACTTAAATAGTGGTCTCCTAAACCTTTTTCTACACACACACACGTTCCCCAAAATATATGCTATCATGAAAGGGTTTTTTCTGCTTAAAATATATTATGAACATGTTTTGATACACTTATGCATTATATATTTTAATGGCTGTGTGCTATCCCATAATACAGATATGCCATAATTTAATTAATCACTTTCTTTTGAATGTGTCCTGTTTTCAACATTTACTTTTTATTTTTTTAAATTAATTATATTTACTTCATGTTTTATTTTATTTTATTTTGTTCAGATTTTCTGAAGAGGAATTTCTGGATCAAAGAGATCTGGAATTTTAATTATTTTTCTGTTAGTTGCCAAATTGTCTTCATAAATTTTATTCTGATTTATGACCCTATCGCCAGTGAATTAAAGTAGTGGTTTTCTTCACCTTTGCCAACTTGAATATTTTAATATTTATATTTTGTTAATTCAGCAATAAAATTATTGTAATTTGATTTATATACGTATTAATCAGTTGGACACTTTTCAATTTTCTAGTGGCCACAGATTCTTTTTTCAGTGAACTGATTGTTCATAGTTTAACCATTTTTCCATACTCCCATCTGTATAAACTATATTATCCATTTGACAACCACATATATTGCAATCACTTTTCCTTTCATTTATAGTGATTTTAGTATACATAAGTTTAAGTTTTAAGTCTTAAGCTCTTTCACTGTCTCCTTTGTGGTTTCTCTCCTTTAAGTCATTCTTAGGTTGCTGTTCTCATTCAAAATCAAATATATCTTCACTTACAGTTTATCTATTGCTCTCATATTTTCATAAATGTTTGATTTTAAGTTTTTGATGATTTGATTGATATTACATTGAATGGAAGTACAGTCATCTCTGAAGATTGAAACAGTAACGGAAAAGCTAGAAATGGAACAACCTCATAAGGAATAACAAGGTTTAAAGAAATCTGTCATTCTATCTCTGGAACAAATCACCTCATGACATTCAGGCTTGGTGTTAATTGTCTAAAGCAAATACTGAGAGAAGATCTTTCCTTGTCATCAGGGCAAGAGGAGAGAGCTTTGCACATTTTATTTATCCTTTGGAACTAAATTACTCTCACTACAAATGGGAAAAACAGTGTGATAAGGAGCAGAATTTTCCGTCTGTGAATTATTATTCCAGACATTACGAAGCTCTCAGAGCTCTCCCTACTGGTATTCCCTGCTCTCATTCTACTCCAGCCACTTGGTTCTTCTCCCTCTTCCTCAAACAAGCCAAGGATGCTCTTGTCTCAGATTTATTCCCTCTGCTTGCCATGCCCTTCCCTCGGAAAGTGATGTGGTTCACTCCTTAAGCTTCTTCAACTCTGTGCCAATATTACTTCTTATTTAGACCTATCCCAACCATCTCCCTTAAAAGGATAACCTCCCTTAGTCCAACCCTACTCATTTTCCCATCTAATTTATCATATGTAATTTAAAGATGGGCAAAATGATAAAATCCATGTATTTACTGTTTATTGTGTGTGTGTTTCTCCCAGTTAGAAGGGAAGCTCCGTGAGGACAGGTGTCTTTGTTTCATTCATTGATGTATATTAAGTAGTAGGTGTCCCACAAATATAATAAGTAAATTCATTTTCTATTTCAAGATTTTTGTTTTATAGAGAGGAAATAATGATTAACCTAAGTGGTGGATGGCCTTAAATATTTTTAATGTTTCAAATTAAGTGGTTTTAATCTATGATATAATGAGGATAATAAGAAATGTATAAATTCATTAGATAGTAACAAAGTGTATACTTTATTATATATGAATGCGAGAAGCCTTAATAATGATAAACGTTAAATATAAAATATTGCTTTTGTTGCCTGTCATAATTTTTATTTTTAAAAATATATCACTTTCGTGCTTGTCAGTCGAGGAAAGAATTTACAAGAGCATTTTTGTCTTTCAGAGCCGTGCACTCTCAGTGTGGATTCCATGAATAGAAATAACATACAGATAAAGTGGAAATATGAAGGAAAGGTCCTACATGGAGATTTAATAGATTTTGTATGTAAACAGGGATATGGCTTATCTCCATCAACCCCAGTGTCTGAATTATCTGTCCCGTGCAATAGAGGAGAAATGAAATACCCTTTATGTATTAAAAAAGGTAAAACAATAGTGCTTTCTGACAATTTCTCAGGTGATCAATATCACTACTTGGGTTCAAAGTGTAAGACCCTAAACAATTCACCGCTATCATCTAATCTATGAAATTGGGAATGATCTCTCACTATTTAAAAATTATTTGAAAGCTGGCAAAAATGTTTTTACATGAAATAGTGCATTTTATTTCTGTAGCAGTTGTAGAAGCGCTGGATACTTAATATAGCCATTCATCGTATATTTTAAAAATTATTTTTGCAGAGCCTAAACGAATATGTGCATCTCCTCCACTTATTAAAAACGGAGTCATTATTAATTCAACGGGAGACACCTATGAAAATGGTTCCTCAGTAGAGTACAAATGTTTTGATCACCACTTTCTTCAGGGGTCCAGGGAGTCCTATTGTTTAGAGGGAGTGTGGACTACACCACCATCGTGTTTAGGTAGGTACTACCAAATGCGTCTCTCTTTAATAAAGCAAAGCCATATTTTTTTCACTTTCTGTTCTCTTTGAGTTGATATAACACATTTACAATGCTTAATTTGCTACATTTATCTTACCATATTGGCGTGCCTATTTAGTCACTAGTTTCTATTCTTTCCTCTAGTTCATAAATAACCATAGTCCAGTTCGCTCTAACAATTACTTATTAAGTACAAACCATACATCAGGAACTGGTTTGGTCTGGGGCTGTAAGATGAAGAGGCCATCATGGTGTGGGTACACATATTAGCAATTATCACTTGGTGTGATCCATACTATAATAGAAAACATGAGTAGTGGGGAAACAGAAATGGCCACCTCAATCTAGAAAGATGAAGCAAGATAATGCTTTACTAGCAAGGCATCCTATTAGAAGTGACAATATCCACCAAGATTCTTGGGACAAATAGGTGGTACAAAATAGCATATCTTTAAACCAAAAGAAAATATTTCTTTATTTCTGTATCTGACTTTTATTTAATTCATCTCATTTCATTGGCTTGGACTTCAGTACAACACTGAGTAGAAGAGGTAGTGGGTATCTTTGTTTCCCAGTCTCATAAATAAAGCTTTTAATAATTTGCTTTAAGTACGGTGTTAAAAGTACTTTTAAAAGATCACATTAAAGATATAGAAACCTTCCATTTCTATTTTGCTAAGGGTTTAAAAAAATCTTCAAGGAGTCTTTAATTTTAGCAGTGTCTGTTGCAATAATCATATGATTATTTCTTGTGTTTTTTTCCTGGAATTATATTGCTTCCTTTTGAATGTTAAAGCATGCTTGCATTCCCATAATAAATCCCACATGGTTGTGAAGAATTATGCTTTTTCTACTTGTTGGATTTTGTTTACTAATGTTTCACTTAGAAGTTTTGCATCTATTTTCATGAGAGGTATTGGTGCATTATTTACCTTTTGGGTTTGGTACCAAGTTTCTGCGAAGCTCATACAGTGATTTGGGAAGTGTTCCCTCTTTTTCAATATCCTGGAATTTGTGTAAGATTGGTACTATTTCTTCCTTAATAATTGTAAGAATTCACTGAACACACCATCGGAGCCTCGAGTTTTCTTTAAGTAAAGATTTTGACAGCTTCAATTTGTTTAATAGATATTAACTGATTATCTCTCCTGTCAGTTTTGGTAGGGAGTGCTTTGTAGGAATTTGTCCATTTTATCTAAATTGTCAAATTTGTTGACATAATGTTGTCCATGACATACTTTTACACTCTTTTGAATACCTTTAGCGATGTGTCTTTTTTAGTTACTATTAAGATGTATCTCTTTCTAGACATTTCTTGCTAAGGGTCTGTACATTTTATTAGGCCTTTCAAACAACTAATATTTGTATTTGTTGATCCTTTCATCAAATGTTCCTTATTATTTTATTAATTTATATTCTTATCCTTATTACTTCCTCTCTTCTAACTTCTTGGATTTATTTTATCATTCTTTTTCTAGTTTTTTGGATGGATAAGTTGATTACTGATTTTCACCTTATGTGTTTTTCCTAATATATGAATTTAAGGATATAAATTATCCCCTGAGCACAACTTTAACTTCATCTCACATGTTTTTATATTTTGGGATGTTATCATCATTCAGTTAAAAAATTATAATAGACACTTTGATATCTTCTATGCACTCTGAATTATTTAGAAGTTTATTTTCCAAGTTCTAACCTTTGGAGGATTCTCCAGTTTTCTTTTTTTATTGATTTCTAATTTAAATCCATTGAGACACACTTTGGATTATATCTGTCTTTTGAAATTCACTGATATTTGCTTTATAATAAGCATATATTTGCTTTAGGTAAATGTTCTATTGTTCTTGAAATAAATTAACTTTGTCGTTGTTGGCATGTGTGTCCATTGAACTTTGTTTTTCACATTATTTTTTTTTTGATTTGGAAAAGTGATTTTCTTTTTTTTTTGTTTTATTTTAATTTTTATTTTTTTTGGATGTACATCATATTTCGAATTCTGCATACATTATGTCATGTTCACCACCCGAACACTAATTATAGTGCATCCCCTCACACGTGACCTTAATCACATTATTAAGTTCATTCATAACTGTACTGATTTGTGTGTGTTTGTTTTTCTATCAATTACCAAAAGAAGTGTGTTAAAGTTTCTCATTCTGTGGATTTTAAAACATTTCTCATTGTAATTCTGTCAATTTTTGGTTTTGTATTTTGATGTTATTTTATTAGTTGCACATAAGTTGAAACACATTAAATCTTGATGTGTTGGCCCCGTATAATTTTGAAAGAGTCTTCCTTTATCTTCCACAGTGCTTTGTTTTTGTTTGGTTTTGCCTTCAAGTCTAATTTAGTGTACCACCTGGCTTTTGACAAGTATTTACAAAGTGTACATTTTTCCATCCTTTAACTTTCAACCTCTTGGGTTCTTAATTTTAGTGTATAGGTCTTATAAGCAATATATATTTAGTTTATTTAAAGCATACTTATTCAGTCTGACAATCTTTTCCTTTATAATGGAGTATTTAGTCCAATTACATATTAATATAATTACTGATATATTGGGTTTGTAGCTACCATCATACTGTACTAGATATATCTCCTATCTGTTCTATATTCTTTCTTCTTCTTTTTTTTTTTTGCTTTCTTATGGGTAAGTCAATTTATTTTTTATTTATACCGCTTCACTCTCTACCAGCTTGCTAATTATACTTTCCTCTTGGCATCCTTTAACTGTCCTCATAGAGATTACATAATGCAACCTTAACTTACTATGATTGAATATAAATTAGTACTTTTTCCACTCCTCTAGGACCCAGAACACTTTAACTTTATTTACCCTTCCCACTTCTTGTAACACTGTGTCATGCATTTTCATCCTACATATAGCTTAAGTCTCAAAGATATTATTAATAGTATGCTGTCCAACAATATTCTTTAAGATTTACCCATATGTTTATCAATGACTTATTCCTCATCTTCATATGTTTTTCTCTGTTTCTCATGGGGCTAATTTCCCATATGCCTTAAAAAAATTTTTCTTTATTATTTCCTCAGTATTTTTGGTCTGAAAACTTCTTTATTTTCCTTCACTTTGGAAGAGTAATTTTGCTTGATATAGAATTCTAGTTTAGGCCTTATTTTCTTTCAGCTTTTTAAAGATGTCATCTCATCCTTTTTCTGGTTTTTATAGTCTTTGTTAAATAGTCAGATATCATTCTTAAGTTACTTCTTTGAAACTAAGTTCTGTTTGTACTTTGCTGGTTTTGAGATTCTCTTGGTCTTTATTTTCAGTAGGTTATTTATGTTAGACCTAGGTGTGGGTTTCTTTGAGCATTTTATTCTTCAGGTTGGTAGCACTTCTTGAAACTGTGGCTTGATGTTTTTCACAGGTTTGGGAGGCTCTTTTTCTCTTTGTTTCAGTTTGGTAATTTTCTTCCAGATATATCTTCCAGTTCATTAATCTTTTCTTTAGATGTGTCTAGTCTGCTTTAAACTCATGTATTGAGTTCTCAATTTCATCTATTATCGTTTCATTTCTAGAATTTCCATTTCATATTCTTTTGTAGATTCAAGTTTTCTGATGAAAGATTTCATTTTAACATCTATTTATTGATCATATTAATAACACTTAACTTTAAGTCCTTGTCTGAAAACTCCACTATCTAGATCATCTGTAGGCTTACTTCTTTCTCTTAGCTTCATTTCTTACTATTTCTGTTAACAGTTGATTCAATGTCAAATATTATCCCTGGAAAATTTTAGGAGCTTGGGATGATGATGTTATCTTATTCAGCAAATAACTCATCCCATCCTCTGGCTGATAGTGTAGGGGCAGTTGGTCTCAATCCAATTAGAGACAAAGTCTTCTCTGAGCTTGTTTTAAGACCTTTGTTTGCCCCTATTTATAGACTATAAGCCTACAGGGTTCTTCACTGAGAGTTTGGTGTATATATTAAAGTTTCTCCTTCTTGACTGGCTCTGATATTGCTGGGAGACTGCCAAAAGCTTAGTGGAGCTTTCATTCACTGTCTGCTTGGCTCCTTATCCTCTCTCTGCACAAGTCAAGAATAGGTAAACGGCTCAAGGGAAAAGCCATTGCAGAGGATCAAGCTTATTTTCTGCACATCCCATCCCTCTGGGTTCTTGACCCCTCAAGTCCTGGCTGTCCTAGCTGACCCAAACTTCCATTTTTGTATCCTAAATCCCATGAGATTTTCAAAAGCTTTCCTGGCTCCATGTTTGTTGTTGGCCATTCTCTACCCAGCCTTTCAGCTTGTGCTGAGAATGAACAAATATCCCACAAGGAAAATGCCACACAGAATGTTGAACTTTTGAGAATGAGTTTCTACCAGGACCTTAGTATCTTGAGACTGACTGCCTTGGAAATTCTCTGATTCCTTGAAATACTTGCTTTCTGTCAGTTTTCATATTTTCTAGCTCTTAGTAGAAGTGCTGGTCTGATATAGGCTACTCTGTTATAGCAGAGAGCAGAAGGTCCATGAACCAATTTTTAAATTGTTTTGGAAAATTTCACATTTTATAAAACAATGATATTGTAAACTATAGTACAATTTGACCTCATTTTCAAAGCTATTTTACAGTGACTATAAAGATCCTATTAGAGTGTTTCTAATAATTCTTGTCCATTTTTATTTTGTCTATAGCATTTCTAGCGTAACATCTGACATTCAAGAAATATTTGTTGAAAACAATTGAATAAAGAAGTTTGTTAATGTATTATAGCTGTATTATTCATATGCCCTGTTAGCAACTCTGGACCTTTTTACCCATATCAGAAGCTTCTCATTAGTGCTAGGCCATCCAGGAGGCAAATAAGGATGCAAGCAACCCCATTTTCAGAAAGAATTTGGTATTTGATATTTTGGAAATAGTCTTTTCATCATGGAAAAAACCAAGAAGTTTATGAAGTGTCCTAATACTTATCTTAAGTTTTTGTTTTATTTTAATGCATACGAAGGAAGGACACAATAATACTTTCAATGCTTAGAATTAAAACGTCTTAATCCAATCTTGTTATTCCTTAATAAGTGGAAATTTAAAAGATAAGAAACTGTCAACCACTTTGTATGCCATCAGGCCATCAAATTTGATTTAGTGGTGAGAATTCAGCTTGTTCTTACATTTCCATAAAATATAGTCTATCCAATAATAAAACAAGTAGTTTGTCTCATGAGCATTTTATTTGAACTTCCTGAAGAAGAAAAAGAAATAGCATTATTTCAATGATTATTAGTAGCTGCCAATGTTCTAAAAAAAAACACCTTTTTTGTTTGCTATCTTTTGAAAAACTTAATGGCATAAAGCTAAGTGACTGGCAGAACATACCTTTTTTCTGAAATCCAGGACCACAGCAATAAGTGGCAGACTGTTTTTCATGAGCTTCTAACATATTTTTCTGACAAATTTTAATTCTAACTAACATGCTTGCCACTCTAATGCCTGGGAATTTTAAGGTCGTCATGAGTAGGCAGCACAATGCTTCCTGTTAGTACCAAGATGTACCAAGATAATTTTCTTCTTTTTATTTTTTAGAGCCTTGCACATTATCTTTTGCTGAAATGGAAGAGAATAATTTACTCCTGAAGTGGGATTTTGACAATAGACCATATATTCTTCATGGCGAGTATATTGAGTTTCTTTGTAAGAGAGATACTTACATAGTTCAGGTATCTGTTATCAGATCTGAACTTAGAGTGCTGTGTGACAGAGGGCAGTTAACCTATCCAAGATGTGTTCAAATAGAAAGGTAAGAAGAGGCTTGTGCCCTCAACTAATTTTTTTGGTTAAACTGTTATTCAAGAGATTCATTGTGTTATAAATTTCAGAAATATTAGGTTCTACAACACTCCTACTTTATGGTCATTTTAAAGGAAAAAATCATTTTATTTATTTTTTTAATCCAAGCAAACTCCTAGAAATATTTATCAATTCAACAAGCTTTCTGAGTTGTCTGAAGTCAAAGTCTTGTTTGCCATTTGATATTTCTGACACTTTGGCAATTTGGTAAATAAATCGATTGAAATGTGCAATATTTAAATGTGTAAAAATTAACCTGTGTTCTGAGAGAGAAAATCACATTTTCTCCCACTTCCAAGTACAAGTTCATATATAAGTCATAAAGATTGGAAAGGCAGTTGTACAAATCTTTCTACCGATAGAACAGCATGTTAATAACAATGATTAAAATTATGTATTTTCAGGAACACATTTCTACATAAGAATTTGGAATCACTTACTAAAGTGATTCCTATATGAAAATGTAAGAAATATGTTTTCTACTTCTTGATGAATGGAAAATAATCTTATTTTTTGAGAAAAGTATTAATAAATAAAATGATATAATTATTTTATAGGATCGGAATTTTGACCCTTTTGAAGATACAGTGTAAAGTGGAAATTATACTTTATGTTCAACTAAGAATATTAAAAAATAATTTCTGGCAAAGGGCATATGGTACTATTCTAGTAGCTGTAAACAATGAGCTGTATGAACTACATAAGGGCAGGTTTTTAGATACTTTGGACACTCTAGAAAAAAACTGTTCATAACACACACATTAGTGGAAAACTTTTAACTTTTTAACTGTGGTAAAATCAGGTAGAGAAATTTTATTATGCTACTTAAATGTTTTAGTGTATTTTGGATTTCTCATTCCTGAGAGAAAAAGAAGCAAATAACCTAGAAAAAATTGTAAAAAACTGGAGTTAGTGTAGTAAATGACATTGAGTGTTTAAAAAGGAATTGATGATATCATTTATCAAGAATGGTTACTTGTTTTTGTCAGCACCAGTTAAAACAGTGACTAATTATATGAAATGTTGTAAGGACTAAAATTACAATCAATACTTGACCAGAAAAGATGCTTGTTTTAAAAATCTCTCTGTCTCTCTCTCCCCATCTCTCTCTTTCTTGTCAAGCATACTGTTTGTTCAAGAACTTTAAGGACAAAAAAATGAATGGCAGAAAGAAGAATAGCATTTCAACACATCAAAAAATCCTTTATAAAACACAATTTTTAGAAGAAAACTGTTGAATTAAAAACCTCTACTTTTGTACTTGCTTGAAGATTTGACTCTAAATTGTTTATGCTAAACATTTTCTTTATTTATAAATAAAAAGCAGAACATGTTGCCTCATTTTTAGTTTGGAAGATTTGACATGTAACTTAATCTTTATAGCATGTCTTCCATCTGTTACAAAATTGATCTGTAGGGGCTGGCCTGGTGGTATGGTGGTTAAGTTTGCACGCTCTACTTCAGTGGCCCAGGGTTCGCTGGTTCAGATCCAGGGCCTGGACCTAGGCACTGCTTGGCATGCCATGCTGTGCCAGGAATCCTACATATAAAGTAGAGGAAGATGGGCACAGATGTTAGCTCAGGGCCAATCTTCCTGAGCGAAAAGAAGAGTATTGGTGGTGGATGTTGGCTCAGGGCTAATCTTCCTCAAAAAAAAAAAAAAATGATCTTCACATCAATGTATTTCTGTTTCCTAATGTCCATTCACTGAGCTATATTGTTGTCTTCAATATATGTGCAAAAAATTCATATTTGTCTTCATCATATTCATTAACATTAGGGTTTTTCATTACTTTCAATTCACTCTTTATGTCAATATTAGAGAAGCAAACACACTAGAGATAAAAAAAACTATACATTTTATTAGAAGATTTACTTTATTAAATGCAGAAGAGACTGCCCTTTAGACTGTCTAAATGTAAAGAAATTTTAAAATTAACTTTAATATTAGCTACAAAGCTAATAATCAAATTGTTTGTGAGGTAGTGAACTCTCCACATGTTAAAATGTTGCCCAAGAAACATGGTAAAAAAAATGAATAACCCTTGCTATTTTTATATTTTATACTTTCAAGGAATTTTTTTAAGTTAGGAAATTGTTGGAATCATGCAGATTATGAAATCTGAAATCAATGAGACCTGCAAGCACCAAAAATGTGGCAGCGTCAGTATTACCAATATCTGTTGGGGACCTCAAGTAGCCACATTGTCACTTTTCAGTTTGAAGTAACAGCTGTACTTCCAATGGTTATTCCAGTTCGTTTATAAGCACCTGCAATAGCACTACTGGGTACTAGGACTCTGTTACACCTTCCTAGCAGTTAGTTTTTAAATGTAGGATTCTGCATTTTAAAGGTATTTTAGTAAAATACCTTTTACTATAAAGTCCATAAAGTTTTGTAAGTAGAACAAAAGTATTAATCCTTTTCAATTAATTCACCATCAATCTATTAATAAACAATATTGAGTACTTGCTGTATCCCAGGAAACAGAAGCTTTGTTCAAGGTGCGTCATTGTCATGTGGGAATAATAGTATCCAGTCCCCATATCTTCTGAGTTGTTAATTGTGAAATCTACTGATTTTTATATCTGGAGGAAGGAACTGAAAAATATTGTGAGCAAGGTAAGTCCATAAGCTGCCAGTTTGTAAACTTCAAATGCTAAAGAAATGAAAGTGTGAAAAGTGCAACAATGGAAGCATGTACAAAGTAAAGCGGTAGGATGGAGGAGATGATAATGAACTTTTTTAGTGAGGTTGAGTATGGGAAGCTTCCTGGGAAAAGAGTCTGAGGTTTATAAGACTAGAGAAGACATTCCAAGTAGAGGGAATGGCCCACACAAATCAAATATTGAGCACATATCCTATGCTAGGCAATATGCTAAGCACTGGAGAAAAAACAATGAATAAAACACACCTTCTGCTGTTATGGAGTTTGTTCTCTGGTGGGGAAGAAAGAGATTTTATTCCCCTACAAAATGAGGTGTGCCAAGAAAGACATGTATTTTGTAGTGAGCACCAGGAGATGCAGCCTAGTCCTGGATGCTGAGGCTGAGACTTTAACGGGGAGAAGAAAAGAATTTCAGGTAGAGGGAGGAATATGTGGAAAACAGCAGAAAACATGGTATTTACAAGAAACTAGTAAAAGTCCAGTAAGGACTGAGTGGAGGAGAGTGAAGAAGAGAGTGGAGTAAGGTAAACCTGGAGAGACTGGAGGTCTGATGATGAAGACCTTCATAGACCAAATTAAAGATTTTGGAAGTTATTGATTGAAATGAGATGCTCATAGAGATTTTTAAGAAGACACTGCTGACAACATTAAGGAGAGACTGAGATGAAGGGGGAAAAGTGTAGGCATAAGAAAACCACTAAGGAAAATAACGCCATTATCCAAGCAAGATATGGTAGCCATTTACACTGGAGGCAGCAGCAGAGATGGTGCAAACTAGACTGTCAGGAGACATTTAGAATGTGAAATCATGATGATGAGAATTGATTAGCTGTGGGCTGGGCATGAGGCAGAGAAAAGAGTTTAGGAGGACTACTTGGTTTCTTGCTTGACTATGTGGATGGGATGGCCATCTAAGTGTGATAGGAGAGGTAAACTGAGGAGTGGAGATTAGCATGAAGATTGTAGTTTTGGAAATGTTATTACTATTTTTTTTTTTTTAGGAAGATTATCCTTGAACTAACATCCACTGCCAATCCTTCTCTCTTTGTTGAAGAAGATTGGTCCTGAGCTAATATCCGCGCCCATCTTCGTCTACTTTATATGTGGGACATCTGCCACAGCACGGCTTGATAAGCGATGCATAGGTCCGCATCCAGGATCTGAACCAGTGAACCCCAGGCTGCCGAAGCGGAGTGTGCGAACTTAAACACTACACCACCAGACTGGCCCTTGGACATGTTATTTTTGAGGTATATGCAGGGTAGCCAAGTAAAAATATTAAGAAAGCAGTTGATTCTTGTAGTCAATGCTGTGATGAACCACCCAGATTCCTTTCAGAAACAGAAGACTTATTCTCTCAGGTGCTGGGAGCTCTCACTTATCAGCTCCCTAAGGGGGTTGCCTCAGATGAAGAGAACATTTTCTCCCAAGGTCATAACTCCTTCCAAGGGGGGCATGCATCAGTGACTAGTCAACAGGAGTTATAAAGAAAAGACCCCTTTACTCGAACTCAGGACAACTCTAAAGGGTCATCCCAGCTTCAGAGCTCTCCACAGAGTTGGCTGATGACACTGGTTGAAACTTCTTTGCAGCCCAACTTCCCCCATCCTACCTCCTTCCTTACCCTTCCTCAGGTGTGGATCCTGAGAGAATTCCTTAAAAATCTCCTTGGCTGCTAATTTCCATCTCACAGCCTGCTTCCTTGGGAACACAATCTGTGGGAGTTTATGTAAGCCTGGATATCAGAACAGTGCACTGGGCCTAATTTGGAGTCATCAGTTATAGATGTTTACTAAAACTCAGGTACTAGATGAGTTTATCAGGGTGAGGTTAGAAGTAGACCTAGCTCAGGGCTTTGAGGGTATCGGAAGTTTAGCGATTGGATATAGGAAAATGTATAACAAAAGAAATTGATAAGGAATGGCTGGACTGTTTGAATGAAAACTGGAAGAGATGAGGACTGAAAATGATGCTTGGATATTATTGATTACCTTGCAAGGAACAGCATCACTAAGCATGAAATTGAGACTGGAGCAGGTTAAGGAAGAAGTGTAAAGTACAAAAGCAGAGACATGAATGTAGCGAGCTTGGCAGTAAATGTGACAGTGAAAAGGAGTGATGTAGGGTGGCATGGAGGCAGAGGCAGGATAATAAAGGAGGTCTTTTTGAGTAAGATGGGAGAAATTTGAACATGTTCAAATTAAATGGGAGTGGGCCAATAAAGAAGGACCATGGAATATATGGGGGAAATATATTGTGTAATAGACTGCAGATGATTCCTGAAAAAGTGAGAAGAGATGGGACCCAAGCACAAGTAGAGAACTGCTCCTCGCTGGAAGGAGGGACTGGGTTTGTGGCTGGAATATGTTGATTCATGTCACATTTTCTATTTCCTCTGTGAAGGAGGGGAAGTCACCTGCTGAGAATGTGGAAGGACGTGTGGGAAGAGAAGTTAAAGGATTGAGGAGACCAGAGAAAGTAGGAAAAAGTTATGTAGAGAGTGAGAGGATAGAAGAAGTAAAGGATTGCTTGACAAAGAAGCACAATCCTGCAAAATGATTTGGCAAACTGTAACTGTTTCACTGAATTATCACTTCAATTAGATGTGCAAGGTGTTGAGAATAATGTTATAGTAATGACCATTTTGCTTTCTAGAGAACTTTGTGTTGTAAGGTAATTTTTATCATGATGAATATGAAAGCAAACTTTGCTTGGGTGATTTGCCATCCTTGTGGTACAGGGATGCTAAGTCAAAGATCAAAGAATCGCTAACATGGTGATTGCCCTGGGGGATTTCAAAGACTACAAGGGTGCTGCCAGGTTCTGCACAGAGAAACTTCAATTTTTCAAAGGGAAGTTAAGAATTCATGAATATCTGTCTCTTTCTTCTTAAAAAAAGAAAGATCAAAACACTGGAGAACACTACACATTAAAACTGAATTCGGGAACTCAGCATGATTCCTTTGGAGGAAAAATGGAGTAACTGGAGAATGTACAAAGTCTAGCTTGAACTAAGAAGTAGTTCATAATATACTTCTCAAATATAAATTAAAGACTAGTTACTAGACAATTGCAAGGTTCAGTCTGACAAGGATTTTAACTTGTTATATACTTTGAAAATAACTTAGAAGAAAATAAAAATTCAGCTTTTATATTTACTTAGCATCAAGTAAACTTTTCTATAACCGTATATTTTAAGAATTACCAATTTAAAATTATTTGCTATTTTTGTCAAATATGGGAGCGACTCTTTGACATTGTAGAACAGTTCAAACAATGCAATGTAAATAGGGTAAAGAATGAAAATTCCTCTTATTCTTCCCAATACCCCAGATCTACTTCCTCAGTCCATGGATTAGCAGTCTAAAGAATTTGCTCTGTGTCTTCCAGATGTGAATATACACACTTAAATATGCATTTATATACACACACGCATATTTTTATTTGTGTATATATATTTAATGGGATGCATGTTGTGATCATACTGTATCTATTGTTCTAAGACTTTTATTTTTACTTGATATACAATAGATCTATCACCATATCAATACATGTGGCTTGATCTCATTCTTTATAATATCTGAATACTATTTCATAAACTGGAAATAGTATAATTTATTTAATTATTCTCTGATTGATGGACTTTTTAATTTTGTATCTTCCTCATCTCTTTCCTTTCTACCTTCCTTCTGTCATTCTCTCCTTCCTTCCTCTCTCCCTCCCTTCTCTCCTTCATAGGTTATGGGTGGAAATCAAATAATATAATTTAAAGCTGAAATGAAATAGTGGAA